TCTCTCTCTCTCTCTCTCTCTCTCTCTCTCTCTCTCTCTCTCTCTCTCTCTATCCTTTATTATAGGCAAATAAAAAGAGAGGAATAGAGAAGATATATGAAAATACAATGGAGAAAGCAAGACGATATACATACATGGGGTACATGTTTAAAACTCTAAACTGGGTCGAGTTTAGGTAGGAGGAGAGAAATTAAGTGGTTCGCATAAATGATACCTCCTGGCTTGTACATTTTTTAACTTTTTTTTTTTTGTACACTATTCGCCCAGCCTATCGTCTATCTTTTGTTCTTTTATTTTTTTCAAATCATCCACCGTGATAATATTGTTAGTAGGTGGAAAAATTTTAATGCGTTTCTATCGCGATTTCGCATGCGAAACTTGACCGTCTTGAATTGTTTTCCGATAGTCTTTTTTTCCCCTTTCACTCGGTGTTACTACGGGTGACGCCATAAAAATTGGAGCCTTTATCAAAAACGTTTGGTGATTCGCGCGAAGTGGAGGAACTGAGGGACTCGTAAAGTGCGAAATTACAGGAGCGTGTTTGCGAACATAAAATCGCTTTTTTTTTGCCATTGGATCGTTTGCCTCGACGGATTACCGATACTTTTTTCCCTCGAATTGCAATCGAAGTACACAAGGGAGAAAAGATGAAGAAAATCAAAAAGCTTTTCTTCATCTTTTCAAAAGGTCCTTTCGGTTGCTAGTAAGGGATCGTTTATCTTGGAAGAAACTTTATACACACCAAGCGACCTGTTTGCTGCACGCTGCCGGACTTTCCCGTTAAGAAATCGCTCAAGGTTTCTAAGCTCCGTGTGATCAACGCGAAATTTCTCTCGGGACGTGGAAGTACTTTGTGAAAATATTTTTCCTTCCGGTTGCTTCGTTTATCATACATTCGTCGATCGATAAATAATCTCAAATTGTTCCTTACAAATTTTATGGAAAGAAAAAAAAACGTAATTAAATAACTATTTATTATTTTTCCTTGTTTTAGAAAAAGATGAGTTTTTCTTTGAAATTAAAATATTAATTTAGAAATACACTGGAGATATATTATTTTATAATTCTATAGAGAAAGAAGAAATCTTTCGAGGTTAATTAATTGAAAGGACAATTAATTGGAGACTCTTTTTGAATAGGTACGCTTATTCTTGGCACAAATTCAACCTTGTTATCTTTGCAACGTGCTTCCATTAACCATTTTTTTCCACGGTATATATATATAGATAGTAGCAGTAATAGTATTGTGTTTATTCCGATGGCTCTTGCCTTTTCATTGAAAAGAAAATTCTCGAGCGTGTTGTATCTTCCTGCTACGGCTCGTTATCGCGAAAGTGAAAAGAAAAGAGATAGATATGAAAAGAGAGCTTTGGGAAGTAGCAAGTTCGTGGTCAGCGTGGGCGTTGAAAGTTCAAAAAGTTATCTCGATTCCCTACGCGTCCTGCGTTTTACTAAAAGGAAATCTCGTTGGACCTTGACTAATAAATTCGTCATCTGGCTTTTTTCTTTTTCTTTATTGCCAGTATCTCTACGCGAGGTTTATGTAATCCATTGGAATACCCTTAATTATCGGCTATGTAAAATTATGTATTTTCGTGATTAAAATAATAAGAGAAGGAGAGAGAGAGAGAGAGAGAAAGATAAATAATTGCAGCTACTTTCGTGAAAATGATATCTTCAGGATTTAATCGACTTATGCCTTGCAAGAATAACTATCGAGAGAAACTTTTTTCATATTAGTTTTTTTTTCTCTATAAACAAAAATGAACGATCTCGTGATTTTTAATAGGAGGCTCTTATTTCAAAGCGATAACGATTGAATCTGCGTAAAGTGTTATAATATCTAGCATATTATATACTATGATACTAAATTGGCTTATTGGTGTTATCGCGTTCTAATGTGCTTGGAGCATCCATCGCTCAACGTTAATGATATTATTGGCAACGATAGCCGAAAGCCATAAAGCAGTTTTCACTTGTCTCATGGGGAAAGCTGTGCCACCACGATTTCCGAATTATTTCATGATTATCGAATTTCTCTCTCTCTCTCTCTCTCTCTCTTTTTAACGATATTACGTTGATGGCAAGAAGGTAGTGTCCGTTGAGTATTAAAAAACGTGAAAACGATTGTTTAGTTTTCGATCGTAACTAATTTTCTAATTTTAATCAATATGCATTTGTTTTCTAAACATATTTGAATAAAAGGAACAAGGATATAGTATTAAAAGAAATACAATAGGATAATCAAGAACGCGTATGGACGATTAATTAATTGATAAATGGTTAATGACCGTTTCTCCTTTCTCGATGTATTAGGTATGCAGTAGGTAGTTAGACGTGATTCGAATGTAGTGAAAAACTACGATCGGTAACGAACATCGCTCGATTTTCCCTCGAAAGGAGGAAACGAAGAAGCGCATACCTATCGTTCTCGAAGGGAACGTTTAACTTTCTTCCAGTGTCTATGACCTTTCCCGTGCCGAAAAACTCGCGAGCTTTCGCGTGCTTTCGCGTGCTTTCGCGAATAGTTCCCGACCTCGCTCGGAATAAATCGCATAACTAGGTTTCGAGATCTATTCCCAGGACATCGGGTGGCTGTGTGTCTACGCTAACCTACAATTTCTCGTTTCTCTCTTTCTCTCATTCTCATTTTATAAATATCTTTCCGCATTAACACGAAGGCAGAGGCAGAGGCAGGCAGTCGCGTTCCCGCGCAAGTCAAGCCTGTTAGCGTTGGTTTAATGAGTCAACCGTTTCTTTGTCGTTTTAATCATCAACGTCGTTAATAGAAATAACTATTTTTATCTTGTTTTTTTAATAATACCAATCTATTTTCGTCCAAAGAAATTTCAAAAGTCTATTGGAAAGTTATTGGATACGATATGATTCATTTGGATTTGTTTGATTTTATTTTTCATTATTCTTTTTAAATAATATTCTATAGATCGATCATCTTAATTCGAAAAAAGATGCGTGTACATCGATGCGTTGACGTCACTTGACATGAATCACGGCTAAATAATATAGGGAAAGTTGTTGCAGCATGTATATATTTGAATACCAACGATCGGTCATTATTATTGTTCTTCCTTGTTCAAAAAATAAAATAATAGAGAAGGAAGAGCACGTTTTACTAATAAAAAAAACTTTCAAATTTTTCTACCGTCACGTCGAGAGAGTTTAATTAGGGGACCGATGGTATAGGTATATGTATATATTTAATATCAATAATGAACGTTTATCGGTTTAAGATAAACTTAAAGATATCGAGTACGAACTTGAGAGTCTCGAAAGTCGAAATGCATTGCTCGTCCGCGAAACGTAAAGTCCATAATTCAGTTAGCCGTCTACAAGCGTTGCGTAATGATAGAACGAGTGCCATGCTCTCTCCTAATTGCTTAATTAAATTAAACGCATAGTTTAAAGTTCTCCGGACCATTATGTAAAGTCGTCCAAGCGGTACAGGTATTATTCAGAATCCGTGTGTCTGCTGCGTGTTTTACAGAACACAATCTTCCGTTGTATGAAAATGAATTTCGCTTTCGAATAAGGAAAAAAAAAGAAATAGAAGATTTTTATTCGTTATTCGAAGTCGGCTTGAGATTAAGAGTCAGAATGTACAAGTGTATACACTCGCGTACTCTCATTCGAGACCACTGACTCTTCATATATGTGTGCGCTTTAGGTGATATTTCAGGACATTTTAACTGCTCCTTTTACTACCAGGTGGAACTAACTGTCCCTACCTAGGTACGCCTCGTAAACTCTTTATACCGAGGTACGTCTGGCAACCCGTGACTTACGTTCGCTCGTACCTAGACCAGTCGTAGTATTGAAATTCTCCCTCGTTAACACGAATATATCTTGCAGTACTTACGATCGTCCCTTTTCACTAAGACCTAGCGTGTTTTCTGGCTCTTGGAAAAAAAAAGAAGAGAAAGAGAATTTCAACGAGACAGATGATATTTTTTTTTTTTTTTTTATTTCTGTCTATATGTTTTTTTTTTTCTTTCTTTTAACGAGACTTCAATTTTACTCGCTCGATCGAGTCTACTTATGCTATGGAAATAAATGAATTCCTAGTTTCGAGATCGTTTATCGACTGTGACCGATAATTACGAGCTGTTATCACACAAAAAAGAGAGAGAGAGAGAATTTATATAGGCGCGCGCGCCAGTAGACGAGGTGTTGGCTCATTACACAATTAAATTTATGATCGACTCGAGCACCATCGGATGTTGCTGTCTATTGCGGAGGGTTGAATATAAATTGCACCCTGTCACGTTGAGTTATCGCTCGTACCTGATCGACGCGTAATAATACAAGTGTATTATTCGATTTTAATAACTCGTTAAGATTTGTAGTATCCTCGTTTACGCTTAGTTACAATTTTATTGATTAACAAATAGATCGTTATACTTTGTTATTTTTCTTTTTCATATATAACATTAAAAAATATGAATAAAAATAAGAAATC